TAATATCTAACTTATTTTAGTTCACTCTCGACTAATTATGCAGGAAACTGCAACTGCTGCATCAACATCTGATGTGAAGGCTAATTGAAGAAAAAGCTACAAATTATACAAGCTGATCTAGATATTTTGTTTGTTTATATCACTCAATGTCACCTGTCATTTATGTGTTTGCATATTAATTGACACAATCAATTTGCTTCTCTTGAGCTCCTGAATGACAATCAGATAAGTACTAGATTTATATATTATTTCACCTTAAACCATCTCCAATGCTCTAATTTTGTTATAGAATAAATTATGACAAATGTCAATAAATTAAATAGATTGTGAACAATGTAGGAAAAATGTTAAGTTCACAACTATGAAATTAAAACAATCATCTCCAATGCACAATGTAGTCTAACTACAATATTATCTACTTGCTAAATATTAAAATTTTAATAAGAAGTAAGAAAATTAATTAGATAATTAAATAACTTAAAATTGGTAAAAATAATTTTCTATTTTCTCTTCATTGGATAGTTAGAGTGTGGAGGAGAATGTGGATGAACCACATTGTTCCTTACATTGTAGACAATAGTTATGTCTACATCACCACAACATTTGTGATCACATTGTATATTGGATGATAAAAAATTGTTATATTACTAAATGTGTTGATGTGACATGTAATTTATCACAATAATATTTAAGCATTGGAATTGCTCTCAGTAAGTGCACCTTTTGTATAAAGTCAAACTAGAGGTTTACAGAGTAAAGTCAAGTAGAGGTTTACACCTCAAGCTCATAAAAAAATAAAAATATATAATCTACTTAAATTCAATACATAATAAGTACACGTTATTAGGGAACAAATTTCAAAGACTCCATTTCAAAAAAGTAGAGCTAGCTGATGCTATAAGTGAAATTGTTGAATTCTATTGGCTCATATCACGTTGGAGTGCATGCATGGTGACATGCACAAGCATGCACAGTCACGCTCCCAAGAGGACACAAATGAGTTGTGACTTTTTCCAGCTGCTACTATTTTTATCTTATTGTATTTCTAGGTCTTTTGCTTGTTAGTAACTCATTTGGTCAATAAATTAATAAATATTAACAAAATCCCTAATTCGCTCTCTGCCCTTTCTTCTCACCTCTCCCGTCGCTCTTCAAGCTCAAATCTCGTTTGCCTTCTTTGGCGGTAATTGGGCTCGCACCGGTGGACCGCCTCTGGCTGCACGGCCCCGACCCGATGTTGTGACTCCCATGTCAATCGCGTCAGCGGATGAAGTCGATTTCCCGTGGTTGGTTTTCTCTTTGGTGTCGGTCAGTGAGTTCAGGTCGTCGGCTTCCATGTTTTCGCGGTGGTGTCGGGCTGGGTGTAGTACCGGGGGCTAAGAGTGGCTCGGGCTGCTAGCAGCGGCTATGCCAGAGTGGCTTGGGCTGAGACGCCGATCTCGCCCTCTTCTCCCCTCTGCTCTGGTGTTGGGTTTGGGGAGGGGGAAACTGGAGCCTTTGGTTCAGCTAGTGGTGTTGGCCGGTCGGGGCTGTGGTGTAGCGGGGGGTGATTTGGGTGTTTTTGGCTAATGCTCGTGCCGACATTCTGGGTTTGGTTTGAGGCTTGGGTTCGGCTTCAGTTAGGCAGTTTCGAAAGCAGTTTCTTAGGCCGAGGATCTCTTCTTGGGGTCGATTTTTGTCTACTGGAGCGGCTCGGTTGATCTGCTGAGGAAGGGCTCATTTTTTAGCTAGTTTATCTTTTTCTGTGTTTTTGTTTTTTGATTGTTTGTTTAAGATTCGTGTTTTTAGTTTGGGTCGTTGACCCCTGTGATGCCTGAGTATGAGTGGGTATTGTTCGTTTAGGACNTATGCAATGCAATCAGATATGAGTCTGCACTGAAAATAATGAAATCATTCTTGGATCCAATGCAATTTCTTTATGGCATCAGAGACGCAAGATAATACCTGGGCTTACACCTGATTTTTTCATCTTTTTCTTTCCATGGACAGTTCTCTCACACCCAGAAATATGGAACCTCCATCGATAATACAACCCCAAGGAAATCTTATCACCATTAAGCTTTTTGAAAATAACTATCTTGTTTGGAGGCAACAATTGTTGGCACCCATTTATGGTTATGGCCTAGATTCCTTCATGGCGCAAATCCAGCTCCAATTCAGTTCATTGAAGATTCAGCTGGACAACAAGCCATCAACCTTCAATATAGCTCTTGGAAAAGACAAGAACAACTCTTATTCTCTTGGATCTATCCTCACTCAATGAGTCCATCTTAGTCACTATTGTAGGACTCAACAACTCACAAGAAGTCTGGGAAACTCTTGAAAGCAGCTTTGCTACTAAATCTCAAGCAAGGATTATACAGTACAGGCTTCAGCTGCAGACTCTTAAGAAGGGAGATCTATCCATAAGAGATTTTTTTAACAATATTAAATCTTGTTGTACATGCTTGGTGCAGTTGGACAGAAGATAAGTGAAGAAGAACACATATCTTACATTCTAAAACATGCTCTTAATCTCTTTGGCGGTCGTGCCAGTGTTTTTTGTAAACAGTCGCCCGGGCCCAGGTCTTGGGAGTGACTACAATTCAGTCGTGCTTTCAGTTATTTCAAGGATAGAGCCATATACCTTTTAGAGAGGTACACTCCTTTCTCCTCAGTCTAGTAGGCTTGAAAGCATTGAAGTTAGATCATTTTCTGTTGAAGGGTCTTCACCCTCTGTTAACACAGTTACTCAGAACAAAAGAGCTCCTTCAACCAAGCTTTTAAAGGAAGAGGCCAAGGCCAACCTTCTAGAAATAGAGGCAATAGAGCGGAAGCTCAAATGGAAGAGGAAGAGGAAGAGGAAAATCCTCTTGAAAAAATGCTTGCCAAATTTGTCATAGGAAAAATCACACTATAGAGAAATGCTTCTATAGGGCTGATTTGAACTACACTCCCAACATCAGTCCACCAAACTTCAACTCAGGAGCCTAAATCAACATAACACAACTCCAAGTGGTAGTGTGGCAAATTCCTCTTAAGATTCATGTTGGTTTCCAGACTCTGGAGCAACCAATCATGTTACCTATGACCTTGACAATCTCAGCATAGCTTCAGAGTGTCAAGGAAATGAGAAAGTTTAGATTGGCTATGGGACATGTTTGAGCATATCTCACATTGGTGACTCCATACTCAGTTCACAATCACACCACAATGCTCATAGTTTTTTTCTCTAAAAAGCCTTCTTCATGTCCCTCATATAACAAAAAACTTGATAAGTGTGTCTCAATTTTCAAGAGATAACAATGTTTATTTTTAGTTTCACCTCAACTTTTGTATTGTGAAGGATCTTTAATTAAAGGAAACTTTACTTGAAGGAAAACTCAGAAATGGCCTCTACACCTTCAGCCTTTCTAGCAAATGTGGAGAAGAGAACCAACCTTACCTCAATTTTCCTGCTTTCTTTAAAAGATCATTCCATGATGTGAATTTAGCTGAAGCTAAGTCTAGAAGTAGTATCTTAGTTTGGAACTCGAGACTAGGACATCCTTCCCTTGATGTTGTTAAGAGAATTATGAAGCATTGTAATCTCAGTTTTAATGATAATGACATGAACTTTGTTTGTAAACCTTGCATGAAAGAAAAAAGTCATGTTCTTCCCTTTCAGAGTCTATGAGTGACCATTATGACTTGCTAAATCTCATTTACACAGATCTTTGGGGACCTTCACCCATCATATATAGAAATGGATACAAGTATTACATCAGTTTTGTAGATCATAAATCTAGATATGTTTGGCTGTTCTTGCTAAAATCTAAGATTGATGTTTCTTCAGTCACCATACACTTTATCAAACTTGTTGAGAGACAGTTTCAAAGGAAAGTTAAGATCTTTTAGAGTGATGAGGGAACTTAATATAAGCCTCTCTCAAATTTTTAAGGAAAATGGAATTGTCCATAGAATCTCTTTTCCCTGTACACCCCAACAAAATGGATTAGTTGAAAGGAAGCATAGACATATTGTGGAAACTGGTCTTTCTATGGTGACTGATGCTTCTATGCCTAAA